ACCCTAAAAATTAGGTCAGAATGATAGGTTAGAAAGCAAACATATTCTCAATATTAGTTCAAAAGATAGAAGACAAAAATAACCTCAAAAGTAGTTGAAAAGTTATAAGTTAGAGAGTAAAAATAAAACGTCAAAATTAGGTCAAAATGATAGGTGGGAGAGCAATCATAATTTTAAAATTACCCCCAGTAAAAAAAAAGTATTAGAAGAGAGCGAATAGCATTGGCGGTGAGTTTCTGCCAATACGTTCTCGCGAGAAACCCGTATTGGGGGCATTATGCCAATCCTGCTTTTTCACCGTCAATCCCGTCCTCTTGAATCTTTCGATTTCACGTTTATTGACTCGATTTGGCATTTTCATCAATAGGACTGATTGATTTAATGTGTAAAAATGCTGATAACGAACAGGAAATATAAAATTTTGTTAAAATGTAAATAAATGAAATGTGACAAAGTGTTGGTCTATTACCATATGATTTAGGGTATTTTCTAGATAAGCGCTGTGACTTATACTCACAGCGCCCCTAGTGCGAACGTCGAAAGCTCCCTAAATCATGTGGTAATAGATCAACAGTACACACTCAAGTCGAGTGAACGTGAAATCGAAAGATTCAAGAGGACAGTATTGACGGTGAAAAAGCAGGATTGGAAGAATGTCCCCAATACGGTTTTCACGCGAAAACGTATTGGCAGAAACTCACCGCAAATGCTATTCGCTCTCTTCCAATACTTTTTTTTACTGGGCCTTACATTTTTAGGTCACATAGCAAACTTCACTTCAACATTAAGTCTGCATTTAGTTACGTTAAAATCTATGTGTAATTTGACCTTTTTTAACTACAAGTTAAAAAGGGACAATAAAGGACAATAAACGTATCTATTATACTTCAAAACTATGTAAAATTAAACGTCTTTTTAACGTACAGGTTAAAATGGGTCAAAATATATGTCAAAATATATGCAGGATTTGGGAATCCATCCTACATCTGATTGCATTACTTTACAAAGATTTTGAACCGCCGCATTTCACTGTCATTTCTTATTTAAAATTTGCTCCCTAATCCGAATATGAAGTCAGATATTTAAGAAAGTAGAACAGTTTTTGATATATATCTAAATTACAATTCTTTTAGTTTCGACAAATAGTGGATTCACTAATTTACCATTATTTCCCAATGTAGTAGATCGATTTCAATTTTCTTTAAAACAAATTAAAAGTAATTAAATTTCCTATAAAACAGTTTTTACAATATTTTTTAATTTGACTGACGGTTTAGGAGTTATGTATGAATTTGTTTGGAGTTTTTTATTATTTTTAACTTTGTTAAAATAAAGATAAGTTTCAAACAAATTTATAGATAGCTCCTAAACAGTCAGTCCAATTAAAAAATGTTGTAAATACTTTTTATGGTAACTTTAATTACCTTAAATTTGCTTGAAAGAAAATTGAAATCCTTTTATTACATTCGGAAATAATGGTGAATTAGTGCATCCACTTTTTGTCGAAATTCAAAAAATAGAAATTTAGCTATATATCATTGAGCAACACTGTCTTACCTTCACTTTTATTTCGCGAAGTCCTCCTTTTTTCTTTTCCCCAGCCATATTTTTTTTAAATATAAAATAGACAACGGGTCCATAACTTTTACTGTAGGGTCTATCAATGCTGCCTTTGTAGATCGAAAAAATTACTGACTATTAACAATAAGAAAAAAAATTTTATTTTTGTAATATATGAGAACGTTTGAAAATATATGTATGAAATTTAATTATTCTATTTATAATAACATTTAATTATAGAAACTATAGCTGTTTTGTACTCGTAAACTTATTATTCGTAGACTAAAAATTATAATTAAAGAAAAGGTCAGCTATACTCTGACGTATAGAATGTGCGGCAATGGATTTGCAGTTTATTATACATTACACTTCACATACATACACCACATTGTGCAACATACATCGCTTACTTTGAATGTTTGCTGTTTTAATAAATAAAAAGTAACTTATTGTTAACCCCTTGTCTGTCAACGAGATTTCCATCCCAGTAAAAAAAAGTATTGAGTGGAGCGTTTAGGAATTTAGTGAAGCTCTGAGCCAATACGGATTCGAGTAAAAACCGTATTGGGACGTTTGACTCAATCTTTTTTTCATCCGCCGAATACGGTCTTATTTTAGCATTAAAATTAAAATCACATGAGCAGAGTACACATTATAAATCGAAAGCACAATTGTCCTGGAATGTAAAAATGCCGGTTTCGATAAGAAACAGTAAATATTTGTTAAAAATTGGTAAAAGCAAAGTTTGACAAGCGCGACTGAATTTACCATGTGAATAAGTGAGGTGGTCAGTTTAAATGGACGAAATCGACTAAAAGAAATCCACTTTTACCGACAGAAAGTTCCTAGAGAATTATGGTAAATTCAACAAAACAATGAAATTTCATTGTTTTAGAATTCTCTAGGAACTTTCTGTCGGTAACAGTAGATTTCTTTTAGTCCATTTAAACTTATTACCACCTCACTTATTCACATGGTAAATTCAGTCGCGCTTGTCAAACTTTGCTTTTACCAATTTTTAACAAATATTTACTGTTTCTTATCGAAACCGGCATTTTTCCATTCCAGGACAATTGTGCTTTCAATTTATAATGTGTACTCTGCTCATGTGATTTTAATTTTAATGTTAAAATAAGACCGTATTCGGCGGATGAAAAAAAGATTAAGTCAAACGTCCTAATACGGTTTTTACTCGAATCCGTATTGGCTCAGAGCTTCACTCAATTCCTAAACGCTCCACTCAATACTTTTTTTACTGGGATTGTTTGGGCCAAAAGTGTGTTGAAAAAATTTTAAATGGATTTTTATAAAACTTGGTACCCTAAGGTTTTTGGGGTCACTGATTACGAATCTAAGATCAGTTTTTCGAAATTCAAAATGGCGGATCCAAGATGGCGGAATTTTTTTAAAAATGCATCGAATTTTCTTGAAACTGGTTACTCGGGGGTTTTAAGGATCGCTGATTACAAATCTAACATTAGTTTTTCAAAATTCAAAATGGCGGATCCAATATGGCGGAACTTTTTTAAAAGTTTATTGAATTTGTTTAAAAATGGTAAATCTGACATCAGTATGATAATTTTTGGTATAATAAAATTTCGTTAAATACCCTGACATTAGCTAGTAAATTTAATTTTTATAGTTTATTAAATTTTTTGAATTCACAATCCCAGAATGTACTACAAGGAGACTCCCATAGGATTTTACATTTAATTTTAACATTTTTTTTTATATTTTTTTAAATTTCATTTTTTTATATACTAGATTATATACTAGACGCGTCGTTGCATGCAGCTACTTACTAAAAACCCCAAGTAACTTTCAAGTCAATCCATTTAATTTTTTATTTTGTCGTCCGCCATATTGTATCAGCCATATTGGATCCGCCATTTTGCATTTTGAAAAACTAATGTCAGATTCGTAATCAGCGACCCCAAAAACCCCCGAGTATTACGTTTCAAGTCAATCCAATCAATTTTTTATTTTGTTGTCCGTCATATTGGATCCGCCTTTTTGAATTTTGAAAAACGAATGTGATATTCGTAATCAGTAAGGACAGTATTTTATGACGCTGAAAATTACTGGATTATGCCCTGAATAAAAGCAACTTATTCTCTATAAATATAGAGTAAAGGTCATCATAAGAAATATGTTTTGCGATGACCACGGTAACAAGGAGCTGGTTTCTCAGAAATACAAAATTCAAACGAATTTAGTTAAAGTAAAAGATAAAAAAATGCTGTGGGTTCTCAGCTGCAAAAAGATATTGTTTGGGGTCATCCATAAAGCATACTTAATTTCCGAAATTTTATCCCCCCATCTTAATACTTTTTCCATTAATGATTAATATGAAGCATGATATTTTATGGACCCCCCTACTCCTTCAAATATCTCATGCTTTATGGACGACCCCTTTCTTAAAAAAGGAAATCATTCTATTGAGGTGAGGAGTAGATTTTTATGTATTAAAAAAGCCCACTAAACTCAAGAAAAATCGGAGATTCAGTGCAGTAGTTTTTGAGAAATAGTGCGATCACCGATTTGCAAAATGCTGTTTTAAGAAAAACGAGTTTAAAATTTTATCATACTCTTTCATTAGACGAAATTTCGTTCCGGGCTACAGGAAGCCGGACTTAACTGAACCTTACTTCAGATCTCTAAAGCTTTATATCTCACTCAATTTTTTAAATATCAACTTATTATTTCACAAACATATGTCTGAGACCCTACCCACACAGTACCGAAACTTTCCTAAAAATTCATTAAAGATTTACTTGCAAACTTCGAAGAATTTACTTGCAAAGTTAGCTCAACATTTATTGAAGTGGGACATTTAAATCTTTGCAGAATTTTCACTTAACTTTGCAAGTATAAATACTTCTAAGCTTGCAAGTAAATTTTTCGTAAATATTTAGGAAATTTTCAATGTTGTGTGGGTAAACTTAGAAGAAATACAAGAAAAGAAAAACCGATTTTTTGAAAATTACAACTAGGATTGCCCTTTTAATTATGGATGATTAATTTTATTCATAAATTTATGATACAATGTATTTATAAACAGATATTTTGTTAATGCAGATTTAGACTGAAATATTTTTATATTTCTTGCACAAAAAATATAATTATGCACAATTATGCGAGAATTCAAAAATTGTGCGATGAAAAAAAATTATGCGTTTTGATGCGACGTTAAATTTATTTTATTTTATTCATAAACATTATAATACGTAAAACTTTAAACTTTCTTTCAATTTTTAAAAATTATGCGATTATGCGCTTCGCACAAAGTGTAGGTCTCTAGTAATCAGCGACCTTGAAAACCCCCGAGTAACCGGTTTCAGGAACATTTAAGAAGTTTTTAATCACCTTTTTTAAGTTGCGCATATATGCGACATGAACACTTTTAGCCAGTCTTAGTTTTGCGCATATATGCGTCAGCGACAGTCAACGGGTTAATATTGAATAAGTTGACTCTTTAACTGTCCATTGTTAAATGGATAGTTAGATTCATTTAAATGAATTTTTCACTTTCACACAATAGTTAAAACTTATTAATGTTTCTTCCTTCTTCGTAGACTTTAAACATTTCTTACACGTTTAGGCAAGAAATTGTAAGACAAATAAAATTAATTTATAAAACCAATTAGCTCTTCTTACCTAACAATAGCAAACAATCCACAAGCATGTTGAGTGTTAATAGCATACATTGATTCACAAGCAAGAGTATATGTCATCATTACCGAAGCACATATGACAGTAAAGCAAAAAATATAAATGAAATATTTGTCTTTATTTATATAAAGCTCAACTGGATATATCATCAGTTTCATTCTCGGTTCGTCTAGAGGTATTATAACGTCCAAGATTATAGGTGAGAGACACATTGCCATTATTGTACTCAGCGTCATATAAATGTCCCCTAAAGAAACATATAAATAAGGATATTAAGAATCTGCAAACAATAACTCACCGAGCATGCAAATTTATGGGTTCATATCAGTCAAGTATCAGTAAGCACCTCTGGGACCTTACCACCCAGCTGATATAAACTCTTGCGTTCACACGCACGTCGAGTTATTAAAGTTTATTTATTTTATTTACTAATACACTTGTCTATTGATTAATTCTACGTTTACAAGTGTCCCTGTATCAATTTCTTACAAATAATACCTGAGAATCTGAACGTATTAAATATTGTGTCTACAGAACGACTTGAAATTAGGAGTACTCGCATTTGCCTGGACCACCCGTCTAAATAGGTTTCCTTGCTAGAAGAGAGAGAAACTGTAAAAAATCTCTCCTGAGTACAACCGGTTTATCGACAACCGAGTTCTAATGGTGTGTACCAGACCATTATATTTAACTGAAAGTTATAGCGGACTAGTTTTTGAAAAATCGAATTCTTTGTATTAATTGTTTTTTATCCCACATGCACAAAAATGACGTTTCTGGACAGTTGAGGACAGGGAGTAAAGTCATTCATTTGTTCGACCGTATAAAAATGAACGCCACATTCATACAAGTCGAAAAAGTGAATGACTTTTAATCCCTGTCGTCTGCTATCTAAAATCGATACTTTTGTGCATTAAGAATAAAAAATATCGTAAATAACACGGAAACAAAGACAGCCCAAATCTACTTGTTGCTTAAAATACTATTAATCCCTTCCATGTGTTGCTGAAATATTATAAACCGGGCCAAAAATGTGTAAGACCTTTCCATTAATTAAATAGCTTGAAACTTGTTACTGGGGTGTTTCTCAGGTCTCTGATAACGAATCTGGAGTGAGATTTTTAAAGTTTAAACTAGCGAATCTAACGAACAATGTTCGTATAACTATACAAATGTATAACGACATGGAAGAGAAGAGATCCAATTAGTAAGTGAGGTTATGTTATTTTACGTTTTTATGTAAACTTAATATTTTTTGTATTTTTATTTAAAAACCTTATAAAATTATTAACCGACAGATTAGCTCAGTCAGATAGATGCCTCGCTTGGCGGACGTTTAAGGACCAAGGGTAAGTACCCTTGGTTCGCGACCATTTGGCTTGGTATTTTTCCGGCACGTGAGATAATTTGAGCGGGAGGTTTGACGTCGAGGTATAATGATGTGCACCGTCGATTATTGTCCGATACACACCATAAGAACTCGACTGTCGATAAACCGGTTGTACTCAGGAGAGGTTTTCTACAGTTTCCCTCTCCACTGGCGAGAAAACCCATTAGACGGGTAGTCCAGGCACATGCGAGTACCCCTAATTTTCAAGTCGTTCTGCACTGAAAAACTGTTAGGAGAGCTGTTCGCCCAATGCAGTGAACTGCTGCGTTAAAAAGAAACGCACAGCTCACTTTATTTTTGGGCGAGTTACTCTCCTTTTTGGGCGAGCAACTCTCCTTTTTGATAGAGCTGCTGCCCTTTTTGTCAAGCAGCCGCTCGCCAACGCCATTGGTAGTCAAGTTTAGGAGAGCAACTCGCCTAATTTTGATAGAGCTGTGAGTTTAAAGTTAAGTAGCGCTGCACAACAGTCAATAGCGCAACTGCTCTACCAACAGTTTTTCAGTGTGTAGGCGCAAAAATTTAGTATAAGAAATAAATGTGGAAATATTGTAAGAGAGAAATTTGTAAAAAGACACTTGTATAGCCAAGTTATGTAAGCTGAAGACAGGTGTATAAATAAATAAAAAAATAATTATAAAATTATTATTATATAAAATTTAAATCAGAAGTAATCAGAAGTAATTTAAATCAGAATATCCATTAAATATTCCTGTAACAAAATCCCAAAACTGCATTTTTCAGACCGCCTGACTAGGAATAACCCCTTACAAAATATTAATATTAATAATTATTTTTTATTTTATTTATACACTCGTCTTTTGCCTTAACACTACCCGGTAAGAAGCGAGGAATAGAAAAAGATTAAATTTCCAGAAATATTCTGTTAAACGAGGATTTTTTAATCTTTCTGAATAGGCGAATTTAAAAAAAACCCAATTCCTTTGTGAACAGCAAAATACCAGAAAAATTAATTCTTCTCTATTGCTCGTGTCAATGAGATGATAAAAAAGAATTAAGAGTTTCTATTTTTTTTAATGCGCAACATTTTTCTGCTTCTCAAAGTTCCAAAAAGTACAGAATCCTATCCTTTTGAATCGACAAAGTAAATATTGTAAAAGCGAATTGAAGAAAATAAGAAATAGCTATTCTTTTCAATCGACTTTAAGCGATTCTACGTAGTCAATTCAAACGAATAGAAATTGTTTATTCTTTTCAATTGACTGCTTCGAATTTTAGAAACGCATTGAAAGGAATAGAACTTTTGACAAACAATTTGAAAAAGCCTAATCTTTCCAATTATTTGTAGAAGCTCCTCTAGTTATTGTCTTAAAATAAAACGCAGTGACAGCTATTTTTCGCGTCGTGTGAATTCCATTGTGATTTTAGTGCTAAATTATTAAAATGAAATATTAAAACTAGTGAAAATATGGTTAAAAACTCACAGTGCTTACGATAAAATAAAAAATTCTCTTATTGAAATAAGTTTTCAAGTGTTCAATGTTTAACGTCAAGTTTTTAAAACCTAACCTTTTTTCAAGTAAAATATTGAGTGATAGTAAAGCAATGCAGTGGAATAAAAATTTCTACTGATTTGTTGTACTCTCTCACTCTTTTGAATGGGCGTTTCATATTTTGGTGAAGTCAATATTACGAATAATAGATTTTGCTACTTTTCCTTGCTCCACCGAGGAATTGGATTATTTTGGAAATTCGCCCATTCAAAAGAAATGAACTTCTGAATTCTTTTCAATTCCTCGCTTCTTACCGGATAGATTACAAGTGTCTCCGTGGAATTTTTCTTACATACTATACTTATACTAGATTTTTGCGTCTACAGAACGTCTTGAAATTAGGAGTACTCGCATTTGCCTGGACCACCCGTCTAATGGGTTTTCTCGCCAGTGGAGAGGGAACCTGTAGATAACCTCACCGAGTATAACCGGTTTATCGACAGTCGAATTCTAATGATGTGTACCGGACAATAATCGACGGTGCACATCATTATACTTCGACGTCAAACCTCCCGCTCAGATTATCTTACGTGCCGGAAAAATCCTAGGCTAATGGGCGCAAACCAAATACCCTTGGTCCTAACCGTCCGCCGAGCCAGGCATTTATCCAACTGAGCCAATCTGCCGGTTTAATATTAATAATTAATGTAAATGTTAAAAAATTATCACAAATTACAAAAAGAATCAATTGAGATAAAAGCAGAATAATTATTCAGAACGAAAGTTTTACTCATTGTGAATACGATTATTTATCTCAATAAATTGAAAGCGACAGTTAACTCTAGGACCCAAACTTATCGAACAAGTAATTTCATCATTACTGAAAAGAAAACTGGGAGACGATGAATCAAGTTTATCACTTAGTCAATCACATTACATGGAGGCAAACCTCTTAAGGTCGTTGTTGATATAAATGAGGATGAAAGCTTTGCTTAAAAACACTGTTGTCTGAGAAAGACTTTTTGGAAATTTAAACAAGTATACATATTTCACAGAAAAAGACATTAGAAATAGTTGCGTGTTAGAGGAGAACGGGGCGAAGCAGCCAAGACGGCACATTTTGGTTTGCGAGGCAGTTATTTAAATAGGTTTTTTAAATTTTAATATCGCGTTAGAAAGCTTGTCTTATTCGCTAAAAAATCGCCATAGAACATTATTTGACGTAGGTTGCACTTAAAAATTTCTACAACCCTTTTCCCAAAGGACCACATATTGTCATATTTGAAAAAACATGGGGTGAGGCGGCCAACTATTTTAATAGTTAAAAAAACATAACTTAAAGTTAAAATTAATAAAACATAACAAGGTATTTGTACTTAACTTACTTTTATTTTGTTAGTAAACTTCAAAAATTTACATTTGAATAATATTATAATAATAACATTAATTAAATTCAATTTAACATTTTAAGGAAATATAAATTTGTTATTCTTAAAAAATGGTTTATAAAATTCAATGTTAAGTTTAAAATGTATTGGAGTAGGAAAAAAAGAGAAAACATTTAGAAGAACCAATAAAATCAACACAAAAAGACGAAAAATTTAGTGTTGGCTGCCTAACCCCACGAGTACTTTTTTAAGAAAACATCTAAAAAACCCGTAATATTAAAAATATCTCAATCTCATTAACACCATCGTCTTAAGCACTAAATTCTGCATTAAAAATCACTTAACAGGAATTTTATTCGTGTAACTCTATTAACTAAAAACACCAAAATAACTCTTAGAAAAGTTACATCCAAAAAGTCTGTTTTCATAAATGATACTGTCATTGCTAAACTGCTGCAGCAATATTTATTTATTTATTTATTTGTTTATACACCCGTCTTAAGCCTACAATCTTGGCTATACAAGTGTTTTTACAACCGTAGAACATTCCTTACAAACATTTCTTAATACTAAATTTTTGCGCCTACAGAGCGACTTGAAAATTAGGAGTACTCGCATTTGCCTGGACCACCCGTCTAATGGGTTTTCTCGCCAGTGGAGAGGGAAACTGTAGAAAACCTCTCCGAGTACAACCGGTTTATCGACAGTCGAATTCTAATGGTGGTCGAGAAAGTACCACAGATACAAAGAGTTGCGTTTTGCACAAAATTTAAAGTTTTTTCATTCCGTATGTCTCCGAAAAGAGTGGGATTTTTTATTTTCACATTAAATTTGGGATGGCTGGAGCGGGAAATTTATTGAAGCTATATTTATCAATACAGTAAAAAAAATCTTGTTCTATTCAACTTCAATATCTGATTTATGCGGTATGCTCATAAGATTTAACCAAATCCCTTAATCACGACAACCACTTTAACTAGTTTTAACAAACCATCAGTTTCTAGACTTTTTATAAAGG